CCCCAAAACCCCAAAACCCCAAAACCCCAACACCAATTATTAGCTTCGAAATTTTTCAAGCGAATAAAAAGCTAAATACTGATATAATAATGATTCCTAATGCAGCTTGGAATATATTTGCATTTGATTTTAGTAAATTCTGACTGCTTAAAGGATGGATATGATTGAGACAAGTATATGAATTCTTATTTTATATGAAGGGCCACATGGTAAAGTTGAAATCTAAGGCGATTGCTATCTTTAAATCTTCAATAGGACCAATTCCACATTCTTCCGATTAAGCTCTGTAGTCTATTCTATCAAGAGTGTGGCATTAAGAGGAGTTCAATACTTTTACCTTGTATATTAGGTATTTATTGAATTCTGTTTGTGAAGGATATGGACAATATCCAGTAGAACCATTAAATCCGCATTAGCATTCCTTTTCAAGATAATTAGTGGCATCATAGAAATATTTGCAAACAGTAGCTGGATTAGTAACTGTGCAGGGGTATGGAGCTTATACATCTCCTCTGTCAGAATTTATCCTAATTATTTAGGTACACATACCCTCGTATAATCCAGTTTGAACAGCGAGACCACTTATGCAATACTAACCATTATAAAGGGAATTAATGAAATCGTCTTCAGTATCTACAAACTTCCACCCAAACTTGTGTGTTAAGGGTTTACTATGCATTTACAAGCATCGCTTGGTTCCTGAAGTTGCTTCTGACTAGTTTTTAAACCAACAAAAATGGAATGGAGAGCACTCATAATCACTTAGACAGAGGGTATCATTTGTTCCCCAAGGTCTGCACTTAGAGGCGTAAGGCCAAGATTAGTCTTGCAAGCACACTAGTTATGCATCACAGTCTGAGTGCTGTGCGCAGTTATCATTCTCATCTCTTCCTTTGCAATAGCCCTTGACACATCTTTAAGAAATACACTGATTATCTTTAATGCACTCTCTCCCATTATTTAAATTGGCATCTAAGATTGAAGCTTTCTTGCATTTACCTACTGTCATAGAACCATATACCTATGATCTCAGGGGATTTGAAGATGAAGTATATTATTGGTATTTAGAGTCAACCCAAGCATACTTTGATGAATCAGAAATATCACAAATGTAGTTTTGAGGGCATTAATACATTCTTATGTATGTTACTGGATTCGAAGCGCTGTGTAGATAGCAAACTTTCTCACCAATGTCTGCATCACACCCCATAGTTGGACATACATTATATGAAGCACCTTAAATGTTTTCCAAGAATGAGATTGCTAAAAGGAAAATTAGTTTTTTCATTTAATTTCTATTATTATAAATAATATAATTATCAAAACTTCAGTATTAACATTCACGAGGAGAGAATAGTAAAAAGTAGCATGTGACCTCCCACACTAACTTTCATATTGTTATGTACTTTAATTCTAGAACTCGGTTTGTGGTTTTTCATTTCAACGACAGTTCTTGGATACATGAAAGTGCCATAAGTGGAGTGATCTTATAAATACCAGTAACCTCTTTCATAAAGAATGGTAGAATGCAGTTTAGAGACTGTTGTTGCTGTTGAGGGGATTATCAGGTCTCTGTTATTGGACCGACCAATTGTAGTTCTCTTTTACTCCAGAACAAATTTATTGCCAGCTAGGGCTCCGTCATGAAACTTCAATGTTATAGATTTTTTATTACTCACTTTGGGCTCGTTCTTTGCATCAAAGTATCTAAGTTCAAGTGAGTCATTCAGAATTTGAGCATTTTAATCATCAGTCACCAAGTCCATAACATAAAAATCAGATTGCTCAGATAAAGATATGTAGTCATACCTGCTCAGCAGAACCTTCTTATTCTACTCTAGTCTGATTAAGGTCGGGTATTCAGAGCCAACATCTATCAAGCTAAAATGAGGTCGATTGTACTCGATTTTAAATTAATGCTCTGCAATATAGATGTTGTCCTCAGAAAATCTTACATCTGCATTCTCTCCTCTGCCAAATACGATCGGCCTCTTTTCAGCTTGATCTGAGGTTATCTCTGCAATATTCTGGCTGATTTCAAATGCTGAAGGCACTTCACTTTTAATGTCAATGACCTGAACCTTAAGAATTTTAGGTTTGGCTTTGCTATGTTCAATCGCAGATTTTACTTTTGAAGAATGTCTCATGTTACTCTGGAGTGACTCGAAATTGCTTTTACCCTATATCCTATCCTCATAGTGATGGTCATCTGGGTCATCTTTTGTTGCCCCATAATCATTTATATTGTCCTCGTAGTCGAACTGTTAAGGAGCCTCAGTGTTAATCTTTACTTTCTTTTTCTTAGAGATTACTGTAGCCTGCGCATCATTTTAAATGTTAAAACTACCCTAGAATGATTCAAGATCCATGCTAGTTTAATGATTTAGTCTTGGCTGATGATTTAGCTCTTCTTCATTCACGTATTTTACAGTAGGCTTTAGATCTGCTGCACTATCGAAAGGATCATTCTCCTCATCATTAACTTCATCCTCTTTTATATCTGAAAAATCCTACTTGTCATGTCCCTTAGGATTTGAATCTTTGCTTCTCATTGTTACCACAAACTTAGCCTCTTCTTTGTCCTCCTATCTCTCAATCTTTTTCTGTTTCTTATCTTCACTCTTTGAATGTTTCTTTTTCCAAAAATCGCTGTCTCCATACTTAGAATTCCTTCTGGGAGTTCTTGAGCCACCACACTTGAAATCACCCATTAGTATCAGTGCTAACTGCTCAGCAGGCGTCTTATTATGGAATGACCCTACAGATTGATAGCTATTTTGACTTGATTTTTCCGGGGAACTAGTATCAATTCCTGACCTTTGATTTCTTGAATTGCTTGATACTTCCTCTGACTCCTCTCTGTAGCTCATAAAAGTCTCGTTAACTTCATCAAGGGTCATGTTGCTTAGTACGATTGATTATTGTACATCAACTTTTTATCGCAATTAGTTAAATATGGTATTGACCTTGCCCATATAGACCTCATCAAAATTGAGGGCAATTTAAATTATGTACATCAAACTGCCTTCATTCATATTTTAAAGTACCAAATGCATGAATAAGTAATCTTAAAGTACTTCCTTCAGCTACTATAATTTATCTTCAGGATCAATGTTGATTTTATTAAGTCCTAATTTTAGCTACTTATCTAGCAAAGTATCCCAATGCTTGTAGAACTCATCAAATGAGTCAATACTTTTTACAAAACCAAGCGATAGATCGCTGCCCTTTAATTTTCTAAGTGATTTAAAAATTTCATTCAGCTATTCCAGAGTTTCCATGATCTGCTGAAGAATCTTTATTATTTCAGAGTGAACCAATATATGATTGAGACAGCTATTCTAAATTAAGTACAAATGCTGATAAAAATCTTTTTTCTCATCTCCTATTTATCTATTATATCGCGGGTATTTGTCTAGTTCTCTGAAAATGTCAAACATCTGTTTCTTCAGCTGGCTGAATTGAAAAGACAATCCAGCATCATTATTAGAGCTGCTGAGATTTGATAGCCTATTATTAAGTGGTCTGCTTGAAGAATATCTGGCTGCTAAAGATCCTTGATTTCTCTAGCCTCTCATTTAAAGATTAAAATTTAATTAATTTACTCATTATTGCATCTCAAAATTTCAATTAAACTCTAGAAGTATGTTAAAACTCATTTATCTCGTATTCTCAAATTAACTCTTGATGGGGTTTTGGGGTTTTGGGGTTTTGGGGTTTTGGGGTTTTGGGGTTTTGGGG